GATCCAATCTAGGCATGATAGTTGGTCCACTATCATGGTCAAAGCTCCTGAGACATGACAGGCCAACAGCCAAATGTAGTGTTCATGGGCCTAAAAGAGAAAGACTATAGCAAGGAAGCAAAGATCCTAAGAATAAGTGCCTCTCTGCCATTTGATGTATCTGTAACATATGGGCTATAATCAAGCTGAAGAGAATGGTTTTGAACTGAATATTTGACCATCATAGAAGAATTGAAGAAAGCAACAGGTGGGTGAACAAATTGAGATGTGAAGAGCATCTGACACATCAAACTTGATCATCCACATCCCTGGGAGAGAGAGCACCAACTTCAGAGAAACCATCCAATTAGTAGAACAATCAGTTGGTTCAAGTGTAACTGATCTTGACAGATCACCAATCTCCTGCCTTCTCAGGAATGACAAAAAGACGTGAGGAAAATCTTAGAGTGTGACATAGGACATGTTCCATGACATTCAGGATCTGAAGGAAAGGAAGAATTTGAGACCAAAAGGTTAAATAATGCCCTTGAAAAAGCACCTGTGTAACCCCATGGTTTTTGGCATAAGGTTTCTTCTTCATCTTCAGTGCTTTTAGGCATTGATGATCATGACTTTCAATTTCTCTATATACCTGGTATTCTTCAACAATTTTGCGTTGTTATTCATGGTTTCTAACCATTCTGTGAGTCCAACAAGCATCTTTACTCTTTGTTTTCCTTTGCTTCTTTTTCTTTCTATCTTGCTTATTGTTACTATGAGCAACATCTTTTCTTTTTACATCAAATGACCTACGAACTCTTTCTTATTTTTTGATGATGTTATGTGTTGTGTTAACTTGTACAATTACTTGTGCATTATTTCTTGTTTATTCTTCTTAAGAACCACATTTTGGGAGTCTATAAGTTTGCAAAGTGGGGAAGCTGATCTCCCACTGCCTAAGCCAAAGGGCAGTTCCAAAAACAAGTTATCTCTGAAAATGGGGGCATCGAATAGTTACATGAGAAGGATGAATAGGAGAGGAAGCTACACCATGAGGCTCTTGAAGGCAAGAAACCTGGTTGGCCCCTCTGGTTTGAGAAATTTGAGAAAGCAAAGTCAGTTTGAGATTCTGAAGTATATGAAACACACCCCAAATCTCACTATAAAGGAAGGGTGAAAAATGGAGTCCTTGAGATAAGATTGAGGGAGTTGATGTATGAGAAGTATGAAGGTGAGATAATCTCATCCGAGTGAGGAATAAGGAACCAAAAACATAAGTAGGTGACATAAACACAGTTAAATTCATAAAAAGATGGGAAGACTAACCTGAAACAGAAGAAGATGGTTAGGAGTCCTAGATTTGAGATCAGAATGGAACCAACCTGGCACAATGGCACTAACATCACTGACTGTCAGAGTGCCTCCAGTCATGACTAAAATAGTAGATGATTCCTACTGAGGAGTGTCAAATGTGAGTGATGTCAAAAACATGGATACAGATGATCCATGAATCTGTAATTTTTTAAAGTTGTCCTTGTATGTCTATGGTTACGTAGGCCTTAGTCATTGTTTCAATGATGAAATTAAAGAGTAATGAGGAATGGTGGTGTCAATGAAACAATATCACAAACTGGGAAACATCTCAAAATCTCATAATTTCATTAAAAGGAGAAATCAAATTAATATAATCAATGTAAAAATTCATACTGAAGTGTTTGATATTTTATAGGTTTTCTCTTTCATAATCAATAAAATAAGGATAAGGAGGTTTATACTATGAATGGTAACTGAATATTTGAAATAACAATAGCAAAAAGCCTGTTTTGTTTAATGAAAAATGTGTCTGAACTAAGCAGAACTAAGGAAAGAATAAGCCTTTGTTGAAATGCTAGTGCTCTTGGGGTTTATGGTGCATGTGTCGCCCTCATATTTATGAAGGGCTACAGTCTAATGAAAAGTACATCATAGGATGTCACAGCACACATTAATATGAGTAGGATGGAAGTTTTGTTCAAGGATTGACATATAAGAAAAAATTTTTTAGCAGTTGCACAAGGTAATGGGTATCTGTTCTGTGGAGAGGTGACTAGCATTTCTAAATAAATATTAAAACATGAAAATACATCATGCAATTGTGAAACTTTGAACTATATTTCATGTATATAGTTTAATTAAAAAACAATGTACTCTTATTAGTAAAAAAGGTTTTCTTCGTTTTTAAGTGCAAAGCTACACAATGGATTACCTGTGCTGTGTCCACCACAGGTATCTAAACATGGTTTTTAGCATTACAAGTCTCCAGACTTACTGCTGAGCCACTGGGGGGCTAGTAGAAAACACCAGCAAAATGTTTTACTGTGAAAGTTCAGTATTCCATTTGTAAATTCTACATGTATGTATAGTCTCTTGTTGGAGGAGAGAATTATTAGATACTTACTTTCACAAAATTATCAAAAGCTCTTTATATAATGATTGTGTTAATTTCTCTACTATTGATGATTCTTGTCCTGATGAGTTCCCTTCCCTATTATTAAGCCAATGACAAAGATCCCATAGGTGAGCAATTTTGGATAGATGAGCTTGAGCAAGTTTAATATTCAGATTGAGAATTGCATGAGAAGAAAATAATCAGGACTGACGCAAGATTTGATAAAGTAAAACAAATTCACTCTATTCTACTTTTCCGTTAAATTTTTGCCACGTAACTGTGAAAATACACAAATTCTGTAAAAGTTTGATAACTATTGCCGATGATTCCAAAAACATTGGGAAATATTTAAAAGTTCTCACCTGATCATTTACTAATTTCTTTGCTAAATTTAAATCTAGTTACAGTTAACAGAGTAAGAATTTTTCACATAAAAGTTTTCACTAATGGACATTTCATATTTTTTTTTAAATATTTCTCACAAACTAAACTTGTTCATTACTTTGAGGACTAGAACCAATTCTATTGGTTAGCCAAACATATTTTAAAACTAGTGACAGATCTGATGATATAACGTTTCAGGCAGCAAGACCAAAAATAAAATCATTGCACATGCATACATGTTCTAACTAACAATATAATTTCAATACAAATTTGATGCATGGTTAACATAGGAAGTTTTAATATTTTTTAGTAAAATAAGATTTATTGATAAGTTTCACTAGTGTTCTTTTTTGTCATAACAAATTAATAAAACATATATGCTCGAAGGTAAATTTCTGAAAAATATACAACAGTACAAGCATGTTTCTGCTTTGAACCACTTTGAACATCTGACAATGAAAAACCTTTAAGTTAAGTTTGAAGTGATTTATGACCTAAAATACCAGCAAATACAGCTGTTTAATTCTGTTAGAGAAAGTAAATGAAGTCACAATAAAGTTCTATGAATTACAGACCAGCCTATACTGATTTTCATGTTTTTAAAACAGCTTGTATATCTAAACTCAAAAAGTAATTAATTACCTACATAAGAGTGTATTTACTTCTATTATCATGAATCAATATTAAAATTTGTAATAAATCCATTTTCAGTTACATGGCTAATTTTAAACTTGTCCTGCTAAGAGTTTTAGTCACAAAAAAACCTTCAAAAGAGGAAACCAGATAACTTATTAGTACATGGTTATTGAAAAAATACATGCTTTAAGCCTCATTGGGAATCTTCTTCACAGCATTGCAGAGGCAAAAAGTTGACTTGTTTTTTACAACTTGGATGTTATATTTAGATTGGCTATATTTCAAGCCTGAAATTTTTCATGGTAACTCATTCTATAAACAATTACTTTTTTATTAATAGAATGAAGTTGTGTTCATTAAAAAAACTTTTTACTTTGAAGCCAAATCACGATTTTAAACTTTGTATTTTTGTATAACAGCTCAAGCTTGGTTCATTTTCTAAATTTGTTTACAATTCCTTGACACAAAAGTTCCAACCACCTAATTTCTGTTTGATAAACAAAAAGAAATTGAAGAAATAATTATGATTTTGAATCAGAAAGAATCTGTTATCCAGCAACATGAACCTAAATAAACTTAACTTTTAAGAAAATCAAATGAAAAACAATCTGTGTTTTCAGTATAAATATGACCTGCAATAACACGAACTTTATTCCCACAATGTATTTTGATGAATTACTGAAAAAGTATAATAACTAAGATGTAAATAAAAATTTAAATTGTGCATTTTTTTATATAGTTTCCAAGTATAAGGACCTGGCAGTAGAGAAAAAATCACTGGAAAAATACTTGCAACAATAGAGAGAAGATTTATTTATAATTTATCAAATACCAATCTTTCGTAAAAAAAAAAAGTTAAACAGTTAATAGCATGTTATGTTAATAGAAAAATTCAAATAAATATTTAATTAAATTTGTAACTAAAAATAACAAAATATGTTTAATTTGACAATAGATGAAAAATTAAATACAATTCACAAACTGGACTGTACAATATGGTTTTGCAATCTAAAGAAGCAAAGAACAATTAAAGTTCACACAAAAAATTTGGGAACTAAATCATGGAACTTCTTAGT